GGACTTGGTTCAAGTCCATTAATTTGGCATTTCTCACAAATTCTCTTAAACTTTGGTGAATGCAACTCTTGATGGGGCAATTATTATTGCTGAACTTCGATCTGAATTTTCTTTGAAGTCTGGAGGCGGTTGAGTTCTGTGTTCTATTTTGGTAAGCCGACTGGGTTGTTTGTGCATCGAGGCGTGAAGGGGAGAGCCATCCTGCCATTTGATCTTCTCGTTAACATCGACGCAATTTTAGCCATCATCAATCGTGGCTTGTGATGCCGGTGAGCCAGTGAGGTCTGATCAGTGGGTTTATTTTCGCTGTAACTGCTCGCTATTTATTCAATCGTGCTTGTACTGACTCGCTGGATCATCGCGGTTGCAATGTTGTCACCCATCTAATTGCCCTGAACAAGCTACCGCACACTCAGCAAAATGGCTGGGTCATTCTAGCCAAACTCACTTTATACTTTATGCACGTGGCATGGATTCGCTCTTTTGCCGCTCCAAAATGGGTCAGAATGACCCACACAAGGGAAAAAATTGCATCGAGCTCCAAACTCTACCAATATGGCTCACACTAGGGCAAAAAAAATTGCATCGACATTTGGATAAAATCTGACACAATTCTCTGAGTGCACCGCGAGCAACACAACCCTTGAATCCTTTGCTTTTGGCCTCTTTGGCGGTTGTTCATTTGGCTTCAGTACATTAAAAGTTCAATAATGCTGTGTTCCGATATTTTTTATACCCTTATCCTAAATCGATGCTTCTAAGAAGTCAATTTCATCAAAGAAACGTATATTTGTTTCGTACAAGCGTTACTTGTTTGTGTCAGACGCTTATTTGTAAGCTTTATAAAAATTTATTGTCGCTCTCAATGCATCCTTACTCATGAAAGCTGTGGAAAGCTTTAACCAATTATTCGTCGATTTTCTTTTACCCAGTTACGATTTACGTACAAAATTATTCCAAGTATGTTTGTATTTGTGTTTAAATTGTTCAAATTATAACCAGCATTCATTCTTTTTACTCTCTTGTAGCATTGATGTTGTTCTCTGGAAAAGTTTTCATTGTACTTCTGCATGATATTAAGCGACCCTTCAACTACGCAAACTCGTATTGTCTGAAATCTTACCTCGCTCATTAATCTCCATTAGTCACCGGATGAGTGATTTCCTCAGGAGCTCAATTAGAGATGCTCTGCGATGCTTCACTCGCCTCGGGAATTAATGCTCTCGTTTCTCGCCGTAATCATGCCCTCAACCGCGTATGTATACTGCCTTTTAAACGCAAATATTTTGAATTTGCATGGTATCACTAACATTTTTATTTTTATTAGTGAGATTATTTTTCTTCAAATTAATTGACTATAGATAACTATACGATCTACAGTGAAAATGATCGCTATGAGTTATGAACTTACTCGTTAGTCTTATATTTTGTAAATATTTTGCTCGCTATAGAAGTTGCACACAATATAAGTACAGAATATCCACGGTATGCGTGAAACTATTTTTGATCGTAGTTCTTAAAACTAGGATTCATTAAAAAAATTTTGCATACGCTATTAAGGTGTGATATTCTTGAAACCCTGCACTCGAGTTCACCGTACCGAGTTGCTTACCTAGTGCAAGTGCTTGGTGATGACCACCACGCCATAGCCCGAGACAAGCTCCAGTTGCAGGTCATGTGGTGCTCATAGGGTTCTCATAGGGTCAATTGGTACTCATAAATATTCTTGAAACCCTGCACTCGAGTTCACCGTACCGAGTTGCTTACCTAGTGTGAGTGCTAGGTGATGACCACCACGCCATAGCCCGAGACAAGCTTTAACGCCTCGCAGGCTCTAGTTGCAGGGCAGCGTCACCTGATCTCCGTTATGGGGAAGAAGAGCTTCCATGTCCTCGAGGGCTCTTATGGAGAGACACACAATTTCTTCCTTTGTATTATTTTTCCTCTTTCATAAAGGGGGAGCTCGGGGTGTTTTTTTAATGAAGTTTTGCTCCTCAGGGATCATCTCAGCTGTTGCTATCTTGGAAATTGCAATTTCTTGGAGAGTCCGCTTTCTCTATGTTGAAGTCTTAGTGATTCTTTTTGGATGACGAATCCTTTGTGCCGATCGGAGTTTTCTGAACCAATATTTTATCTTAGCAGATATCTCACTCGCAATTTTTAGTACGAAAGTCACATCAATCAATTTATCAATAATGAATTATTGTTGTGGTTACTTTTCCTCGCCTAAGTAACATTGGAAATATATTAATTTGTCTTCTACGCATCTTCATCCTATATATAGACGCTGTTACCAATTCTAGTCATATCTTATTTTTGAAATATTTTATTCCAAATTTTATCCACTTGACTGATGAAATTCATTGTATTAATAATAAATTTAAATTATTATTAAATTGTTTCATTATATGAATTTGCAGGCGGTTGTTTTGCCTCCGCTTGCCCGGTGGCCGCACGAGAACGGCTGGACGTTCACCACGTGGTTCCGTTTGGATCCCATCAACTCGGTCAACATCGAGCGGGAGAAGCCCTACCTTTACTGGTGAGTACCTCCGACCTGCATTGCTGGCCTGCAACACATTGACCAGTTCTCAGTAATTGAGTGCTTGAAGTATCCACATTCCAATACCAGACCAATCGAACCTCCCATCTACCTTGGCACACCAACATGTTCTGAACTCCCGCAAGCAGATATGCCATCTTCACTCGCCGCAGCAATGCAATCATTCATTCTCATGGTTTTTGGTTCCTTTACAGAATTCCAGTGGAATTTGCATTTCTTTGGGGTTTGTAGGGGTTTCCAAATTCTAGACGTTCTTGTGTGAACAAATTTATAATCACATTCGTTATATCGGTGCTCGCTTTTTCCCTCCTGCAATTTTTTTTATCTTTTACGGATACCAGTCTATCAGTGTTTGATTTCCAATTTAGTTCACTTTTCTGAATCGTGAAACACCGGGTGATGTTGACGCTGAATGTAATGAATTCGCTTCGTGATTGAATAAAGAATTTTTTTTCATTTCTATTCTCGCACACTACATTCTGAAAATATTACCTTCAACTGCCGTTCATATGAGACTTGTTCTGTGCATCATTGACATACTTCATCATTGCTCGATTTTGTTGTATTTAGTTTGTTATGATGCAATCAACAAAATGGACGTTTGCATGACTCTAACTACTAGCTGATGATTTTCATCCTGTCTTCCGTCCTTATTATATACAGTCCAGCGCCTGGGAAAATGTCCAGCACCTACACTTCAATGCAGTCCAAATATAAACTCGAAGTTTTGACGTATCCATTTTCTTTCTGTGATAATATGTTGCCTGGCAACTGGCAAGTTTGCGACAGGACTCCATATCTGATCTCGCAGTCATTTGTTTCGACGCCACATTTTGCCAGTGCCTCGGAATGTCCTGGTAATTTTGACTATTGTTCTGAAGTCCGACAGCAGAGCAATATGCTCGACCCTCTCTCGCAGACAGATTGCGATATTGATTTGGTTCGTGACTTCAGGTGTGTAGGAGTGATATTTCCATGTGCGATACTCGGTGTTGAATACTTTTATAACCTGATGAAGGGGATTTCTTCAATTCCTTGACTATTCCGCTCTATTCCTTTTAAAATTGTCTAACATATCTACATTTGATAAGATGTGTCAATATGATTGTAAATCTTTGCAGCGGAAGAAATTGTAATATTGAAGCTGTAAACCCCATTAAAAAAGAGCAATTTCCATCTTAACAATTCACCCATCAAGTGAACTAGAAACATCGAATTTAGGATGTATTTCAGATGGAAACATAGTTCTTGACGTGATTTTCTTCTCGTTTCAAAAATGATCTCAGATTGGAAGAGAAATGATCTTTACTCTGAACAATCGAATGCGCAACTTCATTGATTGACTTCGTTATGAATTCCTAGCGAACGCTTCGATGCGCTTCTGCTTCACGGTGTCTGCTCTGATTAAATTTCTACGAGTCAAGTCTGACAAGTGACAGACTTATGAGCGACGTTATTCGCTGCTCAGTTAAGGTTTTAGAGACTGGACGGCTCGATCCGTTTGTTTCTCGCGCAGAATTGGCCTAAATTTAGTGTTCTATGCGTTGTGCTGTTTTACAGTTTGTATCGGTGATTCCGCTGATAAATGTTTGGTTTAATATTCAATAAATATCCATGCATCATTTGAAATTCTCATATACATTTGAGTGGAATGAGTTAGATTGGAATTTCTTAGTTAAATTAGATGAAGTGTTCAATGGTCTACATTATCAATGCAATAAATTTATACATATATTATCTCAGATATTTCTCTATCAGTATGTCAATTTTCATCGTTAGATACTGCAAATTTTGAATAATTTTGACACCTGAATTAACCGTCGTCTTTTTTAATCTTGTATTGGAGTTTACACTTTATTGAAGGCATCGCCCTAGTCGTTTATTTAAAAAATTACGGCTGTGCTGCTATGCGCCTATATGCCACGGTCATAGCTTTGTTGTTCGTCTTAAACTTCGTTGTGTTTTGTTAAACTTGAACTCGTTCGTCTTCGTTGTTCGTCTGAAATAATTTCGTTGTTCGTCTTAAATTCGTCTTCCTTGTTCGTCTTTAACTCCGTTGTTCTTAAACTTGAAGTCAATAAAGTCACACTGTCTTCACTCTCCCAATTATTTCATTCCCCGTTGAAGACTCAAATTTTACGTTTGGAAAGTTTCACGTGAGGCCGAGCGCGACTTCGGAACTACGCGTCATTTTCTCTCCTTGTGTACACCTCGCAATTTCCGGAAGCAGTGGGGGATGCAAAACAAACGGACGCTACGAACAGTTTGGAATCTCGTCTCAGTAATTTTACTTTCCTCTTGAATGCGCACTCTTGATATTGCTGGGAAGCTTTGTAGGTATAGGAAATCCGTTTTCTTTCCTAAATAAATAAGATTTTTAATCTAAAGTTATATATGATCACATGCCAAATTTGAGGTTATATAAACGCGATTTTCCATTGGAAAGTATCATAGTTTGGCATTTATTTCAACTATCAAAACTATGTAATATTCCTACATTCCATCTCGTTCGATAATATATTACAGTATTTATTTGGTCGTGACTAAGTACACTTTTCATGCAAAAAATCGTTAGTGGTAGCGCGAGTACGGACTGTGATGTTTGTGTATGTCGTTGTGGTAGATAGGTTGTGGTTTGTAGCTCCCATGGTACTCGGGATAGTGGGCTTCACCTTCATACGTCACCTCGGCCTGGTATCCGTTATGGTGATCAGCGACGTACTTCACGTGCTGGATGCGACCGTCAGGCAGCGCTACGGAGTACGAGCCTTGCACGTTCTTGCCATCTGAAGTCTCGGAGTGACCGAAGTTAGCGCCAGTGTAGTGGTCCTTCACGCCGTAGTCGAATGCATACGGTTTTGGTTCCTAGAATGCGGTAAAAAATATTGAAGGTTTATACAAATCTTACGCTGAGACCGGCTTCAATATATATTCACCTAAGGGTTTTTTATTTAGCGCATAGACGAGCACAAACTCGTCAAAATACTTTCAATTCTGTGTCTGTCGGATCGAAAAATGAATGTTGATTCCGTGAAGAAAACTCTCTGTTATTTGTCGTCCAAGTTAGCGTCTAATAAAATTTCAATTTTCTTTCCTTACTCTTACTAATTGGGTCGCCTAATTAGCTTATCCAAAGAAACTCGGTTACATTTGCTGTAATTATTTTTACCTTGGCACTGTCGCATCCCTGCCTTCAAATAAATAAGAAGCGGCATTGTAAAGAATAGTTTTATTATCTCGGAATTTGTTGCTGACTTGTAATCTGGGACTACGAATCACGATAGAGGCGTATTTTTTTCATGAAAATAATTAATATGTATCACATTTGTATCCCTAATTACCAAAGTTTTTCTGCTTGAAGTTAATAGACATATTTGTTATAAATTTTCCGCATTTTATCGTTGGTCAATTCGTAAAAGCCAAATTTATGTAAATTTTATATGTGCGCGTAGAATTGAACGGTGCAACAACATTGATTTTTTTAATTGAAAAATGTTTGGACTTACTTTTGACGTAGCTTTTCTCAACTTATAAAATCGTTCGAATTTATTTCTATTATCGAGCGTGACAGTTTTTTTGCATAAATTTTAATACAGTACATGAATTCACTTGTAGATTTGGGGCATGTTTAGCAACGGTTGTGGAACAATTAATTCGAGCTAAATGCAAAACATTTTCGAACAATTGTTAGGTCGTTAGCATATTAAATTATAAATGTATAAAAAATTTATATCATACCTGACTTGAAAATTTGAGCTAATTTATTAAATTTATATCGTCATCAAGTTTTGAGTGCGTATAACTCACATGCTTGTAGTCATCGTGGTGACTCTTGTAGTCGTCGTGAGGACTCTTGTAGTGGTCGTGAGTGTAGACTGGCTTAGGTTTGTAAACTGGTGCTGGATGGTACGATGGCTCTTGGATGTACACTGGGTCCGGTAAGTATTTTGGTTCCGCTATCAGGTATTTAGGCTCTGGTTTGTGGTACTTAGGTTCTGGTTTGTGGTACTTAGGTTCTGGTTTGTGGTATTTTGGTTCGGGCTTGTAAACTGGTTCGTGCTTATAGACTGGCTCATGTTTGTGGACTGGCTCATGTTGGTACACTGGTTCGTGTTTGTACGCTGGTTCATGTTTGTACTCTGGTTCATGCTTGAAAGTTGGTTCGTGTTTGTAGACAGATTCGTGTTTGAAATTTGGTTCATGTTTGAAGGTTGGTTCGTGTTTGTAGGCAGGCTCAGATTTGTATACTGGCTCCGTTTCGAAGACAAGTTCTTGCTTGTACGTTGGTTCGTGTTTGTGGATATGTGCTGGTTTATAAAAAGGTTCATGTTTGTGCTCGGATTCGTGTGCGTAGATTGTTTGATGGATCTGAATCGGTTCGTGCTTGAAGTCCGGCTCATGCTTGTATGTTGGCTCACGTTTCTGGTAGAATAAATCGGGTGCGTACGCATTAGGATGACTGAGTGTTTTGCCTTTAGGATGGTAGATGGATAGGTCAGGTTTGTATACAGGCTGGTAGAATGGTTGTAATAAGTGTGCTGAAGGATGGAACAAAACGGGACTGTGATACGGGGAACGGTAAGGGTCGGTCGCCATAGGTTCTGCTTTAGCGTCCGGATCCGCCATCGGGTCAGCTTCTGGTTCTGCCACGGGGCTGGCGATGACGACTGTTGCTAGTGCACTCCAGACCAACAGCATCGATGAAAGCTGTTGGAAAAATTACAATTGTTGAATAGTATGAATTAAACAAGTTGGCGTTCATTAGTTCTCGAGTCAGGTTTTCGAAAGTATAAAGGCGTTTTACAGAATTGAAACTTATTTTGTCTAGCGCTAATTGTGTTTCCAAATCCAAATGCTTAACGGAGGAAAATTATTTTGCTCGAAAATGAATGCCACGAGAACTGTAATGAAATTTTTTGTTTGTAGTTTATCGTCTAATAATGGCTTTGGCTCACCTTATTGTTATGTCTTAAGTCATATTGATGCTGAAGCGGTAAAGGTACAAAACATCGGATTTCTAATAGATTGCTTCTCAATGTCGCAGACTATGTGTTGATACACATGCATTAAACAATTCCAGAGAACAAATCTGCCTCTTTGCAAGACGATATGACTACAAGATGATTCACAAGGCTGTCGGAAATGAGCACATTTACGACGGGCTCAATAGTGTTAAGGTGACACTCGCTCCTGCAGTGCGTGTTGTTTGGCAGCTTAAATGACATTGCGTCACTACCTAGGAAGAGCTTCTAATGAAGGGATGGCGACCAGCCGCCGTCTGAAAGGAAGTGTACCGCGGGAACCGCCAGCCTGCTGTTGTCGGACAACCCTTGTTTAAAAGCTTTCTTCGGTGTTCATGATCCTACTACATACAGGAAGACGCAAATTTTGTTATTTGTGATGCGCGTTATGTTTATTGTGTAACTTCTCTACTAGAGGAATTTAATATACTGTAGGGAAAAAATGCGTTTACAACGTGATCCTGTGCACTGTCAACAAACGTTATTTCATGATAGTTTTTGTTTAAGATATTTTGAAATTTATCCATATAATTAATTATCAATAATTTTACCGACAGAAATCAAATGAGTCTTCTTCTAGAATTCGTTACAGACATCTGGACATTGCTATAGCACACATGATTTTGTATCGTGCGTAGGTGCCACGTCATGATATTTTCTGCCTCTGTACCGTCATCTGCCTTTATGGATTTTATTGGTCTTAACTTTCACCATATCCCTGAGCTTCTTATGAATAACTATCTAAGGGTATGCGTTTTTATTCGTTGTGAACTATTGCAATCTGAAGGAATAGTTTCGGAATTATTTTGGGTCGTTAATTCGTTTGTCTCTTTCAATTTAAATATTATCTTGTTGAAGCAAGTGACAAGCATCAATTATGGTTTCGTTCTCATTATTCGAATATTAATTGAATGATTTCCATGTAATTTTGACTAAGTTCTGAGTGCTCACAAAACTTGAGTAATCTCAGTAACGCGGCACCGTGAAGAATGCCAGAATCAACAGATTGGACGCTTTTGGTCACACCACTCCCTAAAAGTGGTGCAGTCGCCGCCCGAAGCTTTGGCTTCGTCGGAATTTCCAATTGGCAGCTTTGCCGTAAATCTAGGGTACTTTTTATTCCAGACCCGCTGGCGGAGACCGGAAAAATAAAAGGGACAAGTCCTGGTTTTATTTTTTTGCGTGCCGGTCCAAAAACTGTGGGCCAAATTTTCGAGGTTGAGAGAAAAATACTTTTTCTGAATAACCCGCGTATTTGATTTAGCGCCTTTGTTCTAAGGAGCCGTCTCTGTCCGATATATGGGAGATGCTTTGAAGTATGAGCGTACGCCTCATTAGTTGGATTCTTTGAAGCCTTCTCTGAAGGCTAATACTTTACTGGCAAAGGATCACTGCTGAATTTCTGGAAAAAATCATCCCCGATAATGATATTTGTTATTTTAATTTTATTGCACATTACTATAACATGACACTTGTCTTACTCTTAATCACTCGGTTGCGGTCAGCTGCGATTGACTATTTATCAAGTGTTTTCACGTTTCATTCTATTAGTTACATCATTCTGCCCTCTTGACTGTTTATTTAAGTTTCCTCGGGGGCTCTAACCCGTCATTTTTCCGGCTCACATTTTAAGTCGATCGCGACGCAAGGATTTCCGAAGCTCGAAACTTTCAAGATAAAAAACAAGGACTTCATCTCTGCCGGTCTTGCCACCTTCTCATTTTGGAGGCATGATGTACACCTGCACCATAGGAATTTTATTCTTGAAAAGTAGTGTATTTTCACTTATGGATAGTAGTGTATAATTAGTAGTAGTGTATTTTCACTTGTCTTATGTCTTGCATATTTCCACATTAATTTAAACTAAGTCGTGTGTTAATTATTCCTCTCGTGTGTTTTACTTGCCACTAAAAAATTGAATAATTTCGCAGTAATACCATCGATGTTTTCAACCAGATCACAACTTCAATTGATGAAATTCAATTGATTCAATAAGAATTCCATCATAAACTTTACAAAAAAAATTACATGTATATGAAATCGGCAAAATACTTCGAAAAATATTACTTCAAAACTTGTGCACTACCCTACGCAAGGAACAATAAATTATATATGTAAGCTTACCACATGACAATCTTCATTGTAATAATAAAAGAAACATTTCATTAACTGCAGGCTACTATAGGTATCATAAAAACAAACAAATCCTAGTCTTCAATTAGATTCATAGAAGCTTGTAATTTTAGTTGAAAATTTTTAACTTATTCAACTGTTTTTTAGACTCCGTAGTATCGTATAATTTCCTGGATGCTTGTCATGTGCTTCGAAGAGCATTGAAGTAGATTTCTATGTTCTGCTTTTTTACTTAAGTAAACAAGCATATTATAAACAATGAATTTTAGCGCAAAATTGACTGCGGATCGTGACGCGCTAATTTGTCCTGCATGATTTTATTTCCCTTTTTAAATTTACTAAAATTTATATTTATTAGATAGGATGTTGACGTTAGATAATTGATTGAATTTTTGTTGTTGTTATTCTTCCATAGTTTATTTATCATCAAATGATTATTGATTATGAATGGAGAGATTAGAGCATTTAAAATCAACGAAATTTTTAATTTCCTTAGCTTTCACTTAAGTGCAGGAAACTATGATGAGACGGTGATGTCCAATAAGTTCTCTCTGTAATAGAGTGTTACTGGCGCAGGGTTATTTCAAATTTATTTCTGGTTTCTTGATTTTTTTCTGGTTTCTTAATTTTTTCTGGTTTATTGATTTCATTTTTTAAACTTGTTATCGCATAAAATTTAATTATGCTGCGTAATCAATATTTATAATATGTAGTGCATTATAAATGAAAGAAGAAAATTGAAGCCCAATAATGATTTCCAGTGTATGAGGGGGCAAAGGCGTGAACCGGAACTCATCAGTGCAGTGAATAAAAAAATAAATATTATTATATTTTGTACCAATTTTTTGTGATGAACATGTATGTAAATGATCAAGTATCAATCACTTAAATTTGTTTCGAAACATTATATACTCTGCAGGCAAAGAGAGAGAGATGATGAATGTACCTGCTTAGTCGTCATGGCGGTGGAGAGTGATGGCGCGTCTATGGAGTAGAGGTGTTCACTGTGAGATGTCCCCTCACGCACTGTGAGTGTTCACTCCGCTTGCCGGCTTATATATGAGGGCTGGGTGCTCTCACCTGCTCCAATTGAGCTGAGCTCTTAACCGAGACCTTGCTCCGCTCGTGCCCTTCTCTGAGGGGAGGGGCCCCTCGCCGCGACCCCAAGATGTCAGAGCTCTTGATCCGGTGGCCCTCCACCGGAACATGAATTGCTCTTGTGTAGTTGCTAGGGGCAATGTTTCCTGCGGTTGCTGTGGTTGTATAATCTGTGTCTCTTTGTTCTCATCAGCTTTGCGGCTGTCTTTTGTGGTCGAATCTGTCTTGCTGGGTTTATAGGGTTACTTCAATAAACGTCTGATTTAAATTTGCCCGAGATTTATTTGTGCAACGAAACAAATTGTTTGTTTTCTTAATTTGCATCAGATTTTTATTGTCGTTGGAGATCAATATGGTGATCATATACTGCAACTAGCACAACACTGCATCGAATCTAGCCATTCCCTGTTCCGCTGGTATGGTTGTATGGAAGGAAAAATAATAATTTTTGTTTACAAATTAGCTCCCACTCTCTGAAAAGAAAGAGTTATAATTTGTTGGTGCCGTTTTGAATTTAAAATTTTTGGATTGAAGCAGAACAATTTTCCGCTGACTTTATAACACGACATGCGAATACTCTCAAAATTCGTCGAGGATGTCGCCTCGTACGCTGGGATATTGAGGTCACTCACTTGGAGTACCTATTTTCTGCCGCGTTCCATCTGACGAAATTCTCGTATATGAGCAAATATCATCATGCATTTTATTTATTTTATGGGTAATTCATTCCTCTTTGTTGGTCTCGACAAAATTTGGCAGCTAAATAAATGAGGGAGAGCTACACTGAGAGGCAGGCCTCCACAGCTGCGTTTGAGCCTCAGCCATTTGCCGGATGGCTCTTCAACTTGGCCGAATGCCCACGGTCGTGACGCCCGAGATCCACTATTGATTCTTTTGTAGCTGCCACATCCATGCAGTCTTGTGGCTCTACCCATTCAAAAATTATACGCTAGAGATCCACTATTGATTCTTTTGTAGCTGCCACATGCATGCAGTTTTGTGGTTCTATCCATCCTAGAATCATACGCTCTGAGATCCACTTTTAATTCTTTTGTCGCTGCCACATACATGTAGTTTTGCGGCTCTATCCATCCCAGAATTATGAGCAAAAGATCCACTATATTCTTTTGCACGTGATTCATAATGTAGTCGTGTGCTGGCTCGACCCATCTGAGAATTACACTGGAAGAACTAGTGGCCAGTAAATAACTAATGTCGCTCTATCAAATCTCGCTTAGGTGCGCGTAGCGGCCTCAGTACAGCTAGATAGCGGCGGATTTCTTGTCTGTGATTGGTGGGTTTAGCTTGAAAAGCCGTCAGTTATTGGCTGACGAAAGTAAATCTTATCTTTTTTCCACGTTTTTCTTAGTTTCGCTTCGTGTCTGTCTGTCATCAAAAATTCAAACCTTAATTTAGAGCACTTCTGAAGATCCTAGAAACTTGAAATTTTGCATGCATGCTTATGCTGCCTAACAATTCAAGATTTGATCATCAGAAGTAATAATAAAAAAATAAACAATTAAAAAAACCTAAATGTTCACGGTTGGGAATCGAGTTTTTTTGCGGAACATCCAGACTTACCAACCCTGGAAATTGATTTGAATTGCTAAAATTGCTAAACTAAACTCTTATTTTATGGTTTTCAAAAGTATGGGTTTGGCTTAAAACCCCGAAAAACCCTTATTCTATGGTTTTCAAACCATAGGTTTGGCTTTAAAATCCCGAAAAAAAGTAGAAAATAAATAAATATAAAGAACCTTTTTGAAAAATAACGTTTTTCTGGTGTTTAAAAAATTAAAAACAATGAAATGAAACAAATAAAAAACTTTTAAAAACCACGTTTTCTTAACGGACAAAAAAGAAAAACATTTACTCTTACATAACATTACATAACATTTTACAAAACTTTAATGCTTTTTAAGAGTTAGTGTTTTTCTTTTTTGACCGTTAAGAAGACGTGGTTTTTAAGTTTTTTTGTTTTATTTTATATTGCGGCCTAGTAAATTATTAATCGGCACAGACTAACGATACCGCTAGTGATGCATCGACTTGACCAGTGCGCGTAGCGGCCTCAGTACAGCTAGATAGCGGCGGATTTCTTGTCTGTGATTGGTGGGTTTAGCTTGAAAAGCCGTCAGTTATTGGCTGACGAAGGTAAATCTTATCTTTTTTATATTAGGGCCCCAGTAAATTATTATTAATCGACACAGACTAACGATACCGCTATTGATGCATCGACTTGACCAGAACGTTCTCCTAGAATTTCCCGCGTTGTTAGTGCTCACTCGTCAATAACAGTCTATAAACAGCGCAGTCGTCAATAACACGCTGTTTTGTCAGTCAACGCATCTGAAAATTGGCAATGTTCATCATGGCCCGGTTAATGTTAATGTTCATCATGGCCCGGATCATAAGGTTGCAGTTAACGTATCACAACTCGTTTGATATACTCAAATGTTGCTCGAATAAATTAAAATTGTTGTTCAATTTTTAATTCGTGTAAATCCTTCGTTTCCGCATTACCCTCACATATTCATCCCGAATTTCTAACCTGCTGGAAATAGCCTTACGTTCAGTATTTTGTTCAAACATTATCTCTTTTATATTTTAGTCGTGTTTTTCGGTTTTCATGGCTTTTATCAGCGTAGGGAACATTTTCAAATGGCTTTACTGGTATTCCACAATATTCGAGTTTCTCTACTTTTGAACTTCGCCAGAATTCATTATTTAAAAAATACAACGCGCATCTACGAACCAGTATGTGCTTATTTATTTCCATCTATAAGAATTGTTATTTTATCGTAACAAAGTATTTTTCGGAGGATTTACGAAAAGGATATCTCCCTATATTACGTAGTTCTGCTGTTTCTATCCTTGCCATGGAATTTGGAGAAAAAAAAACTTGATAAATAATACTGATCGTTCATTATCCTTAAGTTTTACTCCAGATTTAAGTATCACCTGTCTGTAACCTGTAAATACCTTTCAAAAAATTTGATTGAGATGCTATTTTATTTGTTGATAGCTGGCAATTCCGCTGGATGCTGCGGAATGAAACCCGTCATTCGGTCTGAATTTTCTCTTCAGTTCTTCCGTCTCGTTCATTTAACAGTAATCCCCGGCTTCCCTGCCAATTGAAAGTTTAGTTTTCTTCTCTGGTCGATAATACCTCTTAATGGAGGATTTACTTAATCTTTCTGTAGAAAGATCGATTCGTTCGGTCCCATTTCTTTATTATTTCCTCGCAGTTCAAACACTACGTCAGAGTTAGGTGACGACTAGATAGAGAAATATCCCGGATTGTTTGATAAAAGGCAATAGACTTTATGTTCATTTTTATCATATAGTTCCTCTTTACCTCATCTCGGAAATCCGTACTTTATGACATTATTCTCTACTATTAGAAGCATAATAGTAAACTTCCTACAAGGCCTAATTGGTCTATTAAATCTCATTGAATGTTTGAACAGTTCCCAGGGCAAATAGCTAGCTTACGAGCGCATCCTCCTTGGCTCCCACGTACGATGATTTAGGTTGCGTGTGCATTAAATGCTCGTGGTTTGCATCTCTTGGCCAACCTGGCATTTATGCTCGACGAGTAATTGCTTTTCTTGCATCCTCAATTCCGGTCACTTCTGATTCCCATGCGCGATATTGTATACAGACTTTAATATCTGTTTATATCCTTTCAGAAATTTTTCATTAGTGTAAATTTAAGAAGGAATTTAATTGTTTTTAATATTGGCAGAAGATCTAACAATTTTCGTGAGATTTTTGTGTAAAATTCAATTTCAACGCATCAGTTACATATTCACAGAGCGTAAATGATTTCCAGCTTTCGTCATAGACTAATTTTAAAGTGAATCTCTCGAAGCCATGTGTCCACTCAATCCGATTGGCGACTGCAGAGCATCCTGCATTTAAATCCAACTGTAAATTGAAGCTCGCAGCGTCGTTCGTTGTCCTCACAATTCGAGCTCTGTGGAAACACGTCATTCCAAATTCGCAACATAAATTGAATAGGATGAATTCACTGTCACCGGATAGATTTATTCTGCATTGTTAAGCCCGGGAGCGTTTCATCATGAGGCTGCTGGTACTGCGGCGCGGATCAAATGTCTTGCAGTTCTGATTTATTGCGGTAACCGTACAATCGTAAGTAATTTTGCCTTGGCACCGTTGTTTATGTTAGCAATAACATCGGCTTGATGGCACCCGGTCTCCTCAATAAACAAGTTACAAGCCTGTACAGGGCCTCAACTATACATAATCGACGCGTGTTTTGGTGGTAAGTGAAGTTTTAATGTGATGAATGAGGTATCATATCTCAAGCTGTGATTCTTGCAAAATGGTGTTTATTTGGAATTATTGGCCTCCTATATCATCCTCTTAATTGTTTGCTGTACGTTGACTCTGTGGTTCTGAAATTAAATGCCTTATTGGTATGTTGAAACAAAAAATTCAATGCATCTCATTTCACGATTTTTCTGACGATACAGCAAAATGAACGTTCATATAAATCGCAGTGAGGTAAAATGTTGTCTTGTGATTATTTAAAGTTTCAGTTCATAGGTTCTCAAGGCAACGAACAAACTGGAGCTATTGGAAGCTTGGCTGGCATCATTTGAGCAGAACATTATGCCGGCAAAAAATATCACGTTTTGCGGTTTTGAGCTTTGTTCTTTCTTGGTATTGTGATGAGCTCCATAGCAGTTACGGCAGCTGCCTGACCATCGCTTTTATATGTGAATATTTATTGCTTTTATTATATGTGAATTTTTTATTATATGTGAATATTTTCATGCAGTGGTTTGTTTTGTGGATTTGTTTTGTTAATTTTATCAATACCGAATATTAATTCGAAGCCAAACGATTTTTGTGCTTTAATCACATTGACCTGACAAGTTTGTTGACAA